GCACACACAAGACATGAAGGTATCTGGGGAAGCCAGTTGTGGCTTTTCTGAAACTGAAGCGAGCATTTGTTAAAGTCAGTGTGTTTACGCATCAACTGTTTACTGTGTTCCCTTGAGACCCAGACACGGTGCGAGACAGACACCAATGACACACAGATAAATAAAACATGGCCTCTGCTGTCAAAGAGCTGGTCACCCAGCGGAAAAGGCGGGCACGTAAACAGATAAGAGTACAAGGAAGCCACGGTACAAGGTACAAAGGTGGAGCCCAGGAAGAAGTGCCCACTTCTGCCTCGGAGGGTCCGGGACCGGCTCCCGGGCTGGCCACACGGATTCACAGGGAGGGCGGCATTGATCCCCAGGTACCGTTTGAACACCCATCTTAAACTGCCTGAAACTGAAATATGGTCTTGTTGAAAATCAGACCATTATCCGACATCAGGGGCTAAATATTTAGCTGGTGTTGCGCAGATTAAAACGTGCACACGCTGAAGCCCCAGGACAAACATTGGTATGCGAGGATCATGCAAGAAGGAAATGCGGCTGTGGGGAAGCGCAGGGGCGCGCGTGACTGCAGCTTGGGGGGCGCGCCGTGGGCCCCTGGGCCGGGCGCCCCCAGGTCCGCCCGGGGCCGGGAAGCTCACCCACACCCGGTGTAACCTGAGCTCGGCCCCGCCCCGCCCGCGTGGGCCCCGGCCCAGCCCGGCTGGGCAGGTCGGGGCGGCGCGCTCTGAGTCACCGGAATCTAGGTGGGGCCTGGGCGCCGCGCCCCCGCCACCTCTTCCCTTTTGTCGCGCTGCCCGCGCTCGCCGGCCACTTTCCGCGGCGTCCGAGCCCCGCGCGTCCTTCTCCCCCGCGCCGCCACTGTCGAGATGTTGCGCTGCGGCCTGGCCTGCGAGCGCTGCAGGTGGATCCTGCCCCTGCTCCTGCTCAGCGCCATCGCCTTCGACATCATCGCGCTCGCCGGCCGCGGCTGGCTGCAGTCGAGCACCCACCTCCAGACGTCCTCGCTGTGGTGGCGATGTTTCCACGAGGGCGGCGGCAGCGGATCCCGCGCGGATGGCTGCGAGAGCCTCATGGACTACGGTGAGTGCCCTCGCCCGCCGCCGCCGCCTCCGGCAAGTCCTCCGGGCGTGCGCCAGCGCCCTGGGAGGACGGGCCTTAGGGAGCCACATTGGGTGCAGGGACTGAACAGGGTAAGGGGTAATGGGTGATTCAAGACATCTGTTTAGAGCTGAGTTTCATGCATCCAAACTGTTCAAAACAAAGCAGCAGCTTTGAATGACCAAAACCAGGCCCAACGCTGGAAGCAAATGGCCCTATCTCAAACAATGTTTGTTTTTTTAAAGGTTTGTTAGTTACGTGCAAAAGATGTCAGCCATTTGAAAAGGTTTGATGAGTAAATATAATGAACAAAGTCTATTTTTTTGGAGACCTCTGAAAGTTCTTCCCATTCCGCCACCTCCTTCTCTGGTTCTTCCTATGATTAAAGTATTAAAATACGCACCTTCCCTAAAGTCGGTGTATTATTCCTTTAACTTGAACTAAGTGAAAGCAGCTCTTCTATTACAAAAAAAAAAAAAAAGCTGTCTTGGTCAAAATTTAAGCAGTTAGGATTTCAGTGGATACTTGTAATGTTGAACGCTTCAGGCTAGCTCTCGTTCGCGGTTGTCTTGGAGGGTGTCTTAGGTTTAAGCACCGCCTTGCTACTTTAGAAAACTGTAGCTTAATGTGGTTTGAAGTAGAAAAAAACAAACGTGTCTTCTACACCAGCGAAATTAAGCACAGTTGACAAAAATAATATATTGCAGATGGAGTATTTTATTTTCCCAGCATGGAGGAAGCCTCCTTGCTTAACTTGTAAATAGACCTGACTGGAGAGGAGCGTGGTTTTGTCTGGTGCCAGCTTCTGCTAACTGGTAGATGTGAAGAACAGCTGGGGTCTATTGTAATTCGCCTGTGTGTGTGTGTGTGTGTGTGTGTGTGTGTGTGTGTGTGTGTCCGGGGTGGGGGTGGGGGGTGGCGTGCGGTAAGGAGTGTTTAATATGCTCATAAGAAGCTTAAAGCCAAATACTACTCAATGGGACCTTACCAAGGGAGTTTAATAGTTTTAAACCAAGAAAGAGAAAGAAGGCCATCCTGCCTTTCTTCATTCCCTGCTGGGATCATTGACTTAATTCTGTCTCCCTCCCCCCTAAATGGCTCTGGGGCCTGTAACCAAACTGTTTATTTCTGGGGCCCTATCTGGGCTTGGTGGTGATTCTTAAGGACTGTGAAATTGTTTGGAAGTACCCACGCTGAACTTTTCCCCCAAAGGAGTCTTAGCAGGTCAGAAAATAGGAAGACTGAACGAAATTCCTCCTTTCCTTAATGTCTATGTTTTTCTTTTCTTAAAACAAACAGCATGCCTGCCAGGGTTTGTATCATCGCAAGTCTTTGAAGTTTTTAAAGGGAATTAATTTCTTTGAAATAATATCTCTGTATCTTCTAGTTAAAATGCATTGGAATTCAGTATCCTGTAGGGGACTTAGTAGGTCTGCTTCAGCCGATGTGTTTGCAAACAGATTTTGATAATCATACCTCCCTCACTCCAAAGACTAACGCAGATCCAAGAATACTCAGCAAACTCCCACATATGAAGTAAGAAGGTTAGTGCCGGGAAGAGAGGAGTGCTGGCGGAACCAGGATCAGCACTCTTGCTGGGACGTGATCTGGCCTGCAAGGCTCTGGCTGTGACCACAGCCCTCTTGTGAAACACACACAATGCAGTTTTTATTTTTCTTGACCTGAAGGGTGAGCTCACCTTTCTAGGGTGTGGCTCTTCTAAACTCAGACTAATATAGTGCTTTGTATATGGACGGGAGGAAGCAGGGTTTTTTCTCAGTTTAATTTTTTTAACATTAGACAGAAGTCTATAGCGTTAACTTTTTTTTTTTTGCGTTAACTTTTAATTGTAAAGAAAACACTGATCCAGTATGTGTGTGTGTGTGTGTGTGTGTGTGTGTGTGTGTGTGTCTGTATGTCAATTGAGAAATTGGTCTTTGGAAAAGTTGTTTTTCAAGTGAGTATTGAAAAATCTATTACTGCTTTTATGATGTAGCAAGACTGATTTTCATAAATGAGTTGTGGTCTTCACACCCTAATTTAGTTATTCTTGTGACCTTTGCAGAGATAATTAAGTGCCAATAACGTGTTAGATGTGGCTTTAGCTCAAGCCCTAGAATCAAATCATGAAGGCAGGACCCACGGTCACTCGGTGACCATGGGAAGGAGAAAATAGATGTGAATTCACCAGGAGAGGTCGTCACAAGCTGTTGCAGTCAAAGATAAGTCAGAGTGTTGATTATATTTCTGTTCCCTCTCCTGGCATGGACTAATGTAGCAATTGTGTGTTCCTACACTGTAGGGTGATGATCTAGGCATCTCTGAACCCTCAGATTTTCAGATAGCCTCAATAAAGCCTTGACAACAACAGTGTGTTTACACAACTTTATCTAAAATGTAGTAAACAGTTTACATACACTCCCACACATGTATAAACACAGGGCTCTAATTAAAATGTCTCACTATAGAGAACTGAAGTTTTAAAAAACTTTTTGATATGTACTAGAAAGTAAACATTGTAACTATTAAGAAAGTTACCTTTTTATTACAAAGTGTTTGGCCATCTATTATTAACTGATATTCATAACATTAATACATTAATTTTGGCATAAATGACACAGGTTATTCCTAGCATAGGCATAATATAGACTTTTTAATAAAGGTAAATCGTTCTTTAATATTATGTAAAACAGAATATTATATATCTGCACCATTAACAGTTTTTAAATAATTTCAGATTACCATAGCACCTCATTTTTTCCAATAAATGAACCAAATTACATGAATGTGTTCTTTTCATGATAGTAACAACTAAATAAAATGCAGCTTTACAGATACTTGTTTGAATGTTTTAAAAATCATGATTTATATTTCTCAAAACAGTAAAAGAAAATCTAGACGTAAACATTGAAATGATCATTAAAATTTCATATATTAAATAAAATGCAAAATTAAATTTGAATGCATGTTCACACATGCTACTTTTGCACTACTGGTGCCTGCTTTTCCACTTTTAAGAAAAAATACATCAGGAGAATATTTTACGCATCAGCGATGTAGATTTCAAATCCCAAGCAAGCTGCAGCTTGTCAGGGTGGAGAATAATAGAGATGAGTGTATGCACCAAGAATGAAAGTGGGGGAATCAGTGTTGAAGAGCCTGTAGCTTGGATCTGAACAGAGCTGCAAAGCCTCCTTTACCAAAGACATCCTCAGATACCACAGAACTTTCTAATATGAAATCAGCCTTGGATAACTCAAAGCATCAGTGTTATATGAAATATTTTTAGCTCATTTAGCCCTACGGTTCTTAAATATACAGGAAATGAGAAAAATATGTATGAAGTTAATAGGTTTACGCTAGGCTAAATTCAACTTAAGGGACTTCATTTTGAGATTATCCTTTTGTGGCTTTTGGCAGTGGGGCAGGTTAGATATTAAAATATTCTTGTTTTATGAAATTAGGCATTAATAGATAGATTACTCTTTGTGGGCACGTGTTCAAGTCCTTACATAGCAAAATAAAAAGTTGGCCACTCTCAACTGGTTTTCATGGTTAAAAATGTATATATAGACTTATAAAACTGAGACATCTAGGAATCAGTAATGTAGTCCAGTCCATTCCACATTTGCTGCACTTAATGCACTTAGCATTAACTGCCTGAGAGCCTCATTCTCTTTTTGGTGACTTAACTCGTCTTGTCGCTGTGAACAGACACAGATTCCTAGACACTAGAATTAGAAGGGAACAAGAGTGCACCTATTCAAGCCTTTGCCAAGTGCTCTCAACACCTCCCATTGCTGATCTGACCTTCCCTTTGTTGAGCAACTTAATTCGATTCTCTCAGTGATGCTATTTGTTTAAAAATACTTCCCTTACACCCTCTTCTACTGGCGGAGCTGAAATGTCCTTCCCTGAAAATCCTTCCCAGCCTTCTTCCTTCTGACAGACTTTTAAATGTTTACGGGTAGATCCCAAATTTGCTGCCATGTATCTCATGTGATTTTTCTGTTTTCACATCTTCTTGTGTAGAGTGGTTTCCCCACTCAGACATTGAAAGAAGGCTATCCAGGGGTAAAGTATCATCATTCTGTAAAAACACCACGGTAACTAGTTATCATCTGGTTTTGTTTCAGGAGAAAATGCAGAGCATGTAAAGAATCCCACCCCAACTGTGGAATGCTCTCCCGTGTGACCCTGCTGTTACTCCTCTAAGCCGTTCCTCCTCTAAGCCATTCCTTCTGCCTTCCAAAACTTCTGCAAAATTGCTTCTTTCTTTGTAGATTATTTTTGGGGCCTGCTAGGAGTTTTCCTGCAGATATTTGCTCCTCAAAGTGTCCCAGACCAGCAGTGTCAGTGTTACCTGGGGGGCTATTGGACACTCAGTGGCTCAGGCACCACCTACTGAATCGGAATCTGTATTTAAACAAGATCTCTAGGTGATTCAGAAGCAGTTTGAAGTTTCAGAAGCACTGGCCTATATTCCTCCACAGGAGCGGATTTTCTACTTGCTGAATAGGCAGCAGTGTTTTTGAATCTACTGTCCACCCATGCTTATATTTATTTGTAGATAGGATCTTTTTTATTTTTATCAATTACGGTTTTATCCAGTTTTCAGTTCTGCCTGTGTATCACATAAAGAACCCTATAGAAGCAATACGAGGAAATCTGACACAATCAGGTGGGGCCTTTCGTATTGTTAATAGGTGAATCCTTTGCTCTGGAAAAGGACCCTACTCTAGTTGGATAACAGGTTGGTGTCTGCAGGGCACTGAGTAAGGGGGCTTACCCCACAGACTGTTTTGCCCACATGTGCAACTACTGAAGAATGCAGCAAATTCATTAAAAGAAATACTAACTTTATGGGAAAAATTAGTGACAGTCTCTAAAATATTACCAACAATATTTAAAATATCAGCAATGCTTTCCTTGTCTTAAAACTCCTTCTTAAGATTTTTTTTTCTTTTCACAAGCTTCAGTTG